AAGGGTATCGGAGCTGGCAGTTCTTTCTTGTAAAGAACCTTTTCTGGCTTTGCATCAGGATAAGGTGGTGTTTGGGCTCAACCGTTTTTTTTTTTTTTTTTTTTTTTTTACCAAAAGTGGTTTCTAGTTTTCATCTCAATCAGAACATTGTTCTGCCTTCATTCTTTCCTAGGCCTCAGTCAGCAAGGGAGAGATCCTTGCATACCTTGCAATGAGGGGGTTACATGATGTGGTACACGCCATAAGGGTCTTCTTGACTTTGACGGCACAGGTCAGGAAGTCAGAGGCTTTTGTTTGCTACTGGATGGGCCCAGGAAGGGGCATGCAGCATCCAAGGCAACTCTTTCACATTGGATCTGCCAATTGATCACTCAAGCATATGGTTTGAAGGGTAAGGTCCCACCCTTTCGGGGGAGAGCACACTCTACCAGGAGTGTGAGGGCATCGTGGGCGATCCGCCATCAGGCGTCAGTTGCTCAGATTTGCAAGGCCGCTAAATGGGCTTCAGTTAACACATTCACAAGGTTCTACCAGGTCAATGTAAGAGCCGCAGAGAACTCGCGGTGTCACCCTCCCCTCCAAATTTCTTATTGCTTTGGGACATCCCACATCATGAGTAGCCTGCTCTATGTCCCATGATGTACAATAAAGAAAATTGGATTTTTTTCTTCATATTTACCTGTAATATCCATTTCATGAAGTACATCACGGGACACAGAGGTCCCTCCCCTCTTTCTGGAATTGCATTGCCTGTCAGAAAAACTGAAGTACTTCCTGTATAGGAGGGGTTATATAGGGGAGGATTTCCTCTCTGATTGGTCGGCTAGTGTCCATTCACCTATAGGTGGCATTTAACCCACATAGTCATGAATAGCCTGCTCTGTCTTCTGTGATGTACTCCAAGAAATGGATTTTACAGATAATATTTGGAAAAAATAATTTTTTTTTTTGTCTATGGGTGATAAGAGCGGAGATATACATACCTAGTCTGCCGATCCTCCAAGACCAGTCCCTGTCGCTTATGCCCTCCTGCATGCTAGCGGTCTTGTGAATGGACTGTTCTCATTAGAGACTGGCAGGAACAGTCCATCGCTGGACGTGGGGGAGTGCTGTTTTTGGGAGGTTCGAAGGACTGGGTAAGTATAGCCTTCCAAGGGCCCCCTGGACAAAACGGGCACAGCCTCAATGCATGGGACAAAAAAAAAAAATTACTTGGAGTTCTGCTCCACATTTATGTGAATGTACAATATATAAATCACTGTGTACATTGTTGGTGTTAAAAAGTTACCTGTAATAAATAATAATATTGTGTGCTCTCTGTGCAGGTGTTCAACACAAACCATTATATGTAATTGTCTTTCGACCACCTTACAGTTGTCTCTCCCTCATCTTGATTACAAATAGTGATGCACCAAAATGTCTGCTGCCTAGAATTATCAGTCAAAAATAGGGTTATCGTCGTTTTGCTGATAGGAAAAAGAAGAAGAAGAAAAAACCTATTCACCTAAAAACCTATTCACTTCATTACAAAATGCATCCTATTGACTTCAATGCAAAATCGCGCCCCCCCCCCCCCCGACTTCAATACAAAATCCTGTCACACTGATTGAAATGCAAAATGCCCCCTTTTGATTTCAATGCAAAACCATGTCCCACTGATTTCAATGCAAAACCGCGTCCCAGTGACCAATGCAAAAACACCCCCTATTGACTTCAATGCAAAAACGCCTCCTATTTAAGCTTTTAAAATTTTATTTTCTGTCCAATTTTTGCGTGTTACTTTCAAATAAAATTATTTTACATTACTGGATTGTATTTTTCTACATTCATGATATTAATTGAAAAGTCAAATATAATACAAGTGTATATATAAAAAAAATATATTTAAAAAAAAAAACAAAAAACTACCATTTCGGTTTCCGGCCAAGTGCATTCTGAATTTTCAGTTTCGGTCCAGAATTTTCTGTAAAAGAGACAACAAAAGCATATAAACAATGTCATAGTCAGCCAACGCATTTCAGGGGCCAAAACCGTACTCTTCAAAACGGCTTAGATCATGTTCCTGAAAAAAGCTCTCTGACAGGAGATATGCAGGAAGGACAGCTTATGCCCATGTCAGCTAGGCTGTCTACAGTGGAGACTAGAGCTGAGATTCGCTTTACAACTATAAGAGGAGTTCCACCCAAAAGTGGAAGCTCCGCTTCTTTGTCTTTGTCCTCCACTGCCATCTATGGCACTTTTTAGGGGGAGCGGATACTTGGTTTTGACAGGTACCCGCTCCTACTTCTAGCTCAGTTTGCCACAGAAAAGTGAGCTGCAAGTTCGGCCCCCCCTCCTTCCTCCTGCAGTCTTCTGGGACACCTCACATGCCCCAGAAGACTGCCGGACCAATCAGGATGCGCAAATTGACTCGCGCATGTGCAGTGGGCACCCGGCTGTGAAGCTGCAAGCTGTCACAATCCAGTCCCACGGTTGAGATGTCAGCACCAGGAAGAGAAGGGACGGCGCAGGTGAGCACGTCGCTGGACTCTGGGACAGGTATGTGTGTGTTTATTAAGTCAGCAGCTACAGTTTTTGTAGCTGCTGACTTTTTATAAACAGAAAACTGACTGGACCTCCACTTTAAAGTATAATTTAACATTTGCAGTCAACAAAAGAATAGTGGGGTTTTCTAAAAATTTATGTGTACTATTCACACAACATGCCTTAAAATAATAATTACATTTTTTTTTTTCATAAATCATATACAGTACTAATAACATAACTTACATGCATTTGCTGTTGTTTTTTTTTTCCTCCTTTGTGCTTGCTGTTGAAACTGTCCCCCAGCCGCACTGCCATGCTACCTTTAAAATGAATGCCCTCTGTGCATTTCCACTTGGAACCACAACTGTACAGGCAGCTGCGCAGAGCGCCGCACACACAGGCAGTGCGAGAGGGACACAGAGCCGCTTTTAGTCGCCACTATGGACAAGGAAGAGAGGTGTGGCTCTTTGACACTTTTTTGCATTGTCTGTATGTGTGGTACTTTGAGCAGCTGCATATATGGCCACTTCCATCTTCTCTTGGTCTTCCTTCCTGGTTCAAACTCTTTGGCCGCTAGATTGGTCAGGCAGCAATGATGCCACTCCTATGCATGCGCATGGGAGTCACATCATCCTGGCACAGAGTGGGGCTGTAAATGTACGCTGAGCTGCACATGTGTGGCTTAGTGTACATACACACTGACAGTCAAGGAGAAGGGTTTAAGGCAGAAGAGACCAATAGGGTCAAAATCCTATGTTTCAGCATATTTTACTTTCAGTAGGTGCTATCCCAAATTAGTGGCAAAGGTGGAAATACATTTAAATGAACAGTAAAACTCTGCCCACTTACTGTTCTAATGCCCACAGTAGAAGCAGACTTAAAAGTTTGGGGAAGTGGAGCGACATCCAGTCTGGTGTGTCGCTCGGTGGGTGTGATTCGGGCAGAGACTGAGGGGGTGAGGTGGGGGGTTGAGTGGGGTTGGGCTCCATTTCCGCCACCCCCCCTGCCAATCCCTCCACTGGCTTCCAGTTGCGCAACGGATCAAATTCAAAATCCTAACACTGACGTACAAAGCTGTCCGCCATACTGCCCCGAACTACATCACTGACCTAATATCCAAGTACCGCCCAGCACGCACACTCCACTCCTCACAAGACCTCCTTCTCTCTAGTTCCCTGGTCTCCTCCTCCCATGCCCGCCTCTAGGACTTCTCCAGGGTGTCACCCATCCTCTGGAACTCCCTGCCCCAACCCATCAGATTATCACCTACTCTCCTCTCCTTTAGGCGCACCCTGAAAACCCACCTCTTCAAGGAAGCCTACCCCACCCCCTGCTAACTTGCCAACCTCCTCCACTCTTCCTACCACTCCATCCCCCACAGCTATCTCTTCCTGTGCCACCATCCCCTCCCTCCTAGATTGTAAGCTTGAAAGAGCAGGGCCCTCGATCCCCTCATGTTTTGCATTGTATTGGTATTGTTCTGTCACATGTTCTGTCCCCCTTTGTAATGTACAGCGCTGAGCGAACTATTGGCGCTTTATAAATACTGTATAATAATAATAGTTGCAGAATTTTTATTTATTTATTTTTGATAACACAAAAGAAACTGTAGGATTGCAACAGTAAATACAGGCTATGAAATGTGGCATGGGTGTGTGGGTCACATAAATGGAATTGTAGATGTTTCAGCCAGTAAAAAAGGTCCCAGTGAGTATATCATTTAGTTCTGTTGTAAAAAGTTTGATTTGCTTGTAATAAATTATAGGTGAGCCAATATGTATTTCATTTGGTGGTATTATTGCCTAGAATAAAGCCATTTTGTAAACAGAACTGTTGTAGTTCATTGATTTCAGGGGCACCAACCCGTATAAGGGTTTCCAACATTAGTCTTCTATTTTTTTTTAAGCACCTCCATTTTCAAAAATGTATCTTTATGGGTCCGTACTTTGCATGCTTTCTCAAAATCAGGGACCCCATGATACTGTAGTTGTAGCTACTGGCACTGGGTCCTCAGGAGCCTAATACAGCAGTTCTCACAAAGAACCATTGTGTATTATTATTGGATTGTAGTACCAGTTTTTACCTCCTAGATGGCACGTGAAGACCTCATTCCTGCGCTGTCCCTAGAATACCCAAGGTCTGTGTGTGTGTGTGGAAGGAGGACAGATTTCTATGTTCTATGTAATACACACTGGGTTCTTGAGCAAATGGGGATTCCCCAGATTTCTCAGAAATCTGTTTGAAAATATAACTAATAGCATTACTTTGTGTCTTGTTCCTACTGGTTTGTTTATATAATGGCCGCCTCTGGTATTTACAGGCAACAGGTGCTCTTTAGATCTTCCACAAAACAGATACCATGGATTTCTTCCCAGCTGTGTCTTCCATTTTTATCGCTGGAGAACGAATGTGGAGTGTGTCATGTGATCTCTTCTAACCATCTGTGTTTCTCCCCACAGGCATATGCCGATTACATGGGTTTTATCCTCACTCTAAATGAGAGTGTGAAGGGGAAGAAGCTGACCTGTGACTATCGAGTGTCAGAGGTAGGTTTGGAGCAATGAATGCACACACAGCGTCTTCTCAAGCCCTGTTTTCATACATACAGTAGTTAAGTACATGCTTATATTGGAACTGCACTGCATCTGAGCACCATAAACCAAAAATGCTATTTGATTCATTTTTAATATTCAAAGCAAACTCCCCCATCCATTCATGTCTCCATGCTTTATTTTGCTGAGAAATCATTTTGAAAAACACCCCCTGGCATTTCTGCCAGTGGCCATCTTGGGTTAGGGCAGATGATTCATGTAGCATTTACTTTCATGAATCTATCTGCCCTTAGCTCAGGCATAGGCTGATCCGAGAACCCCTCCTGAAGACTGCTGGGAAGTATAACCTAACATGCCTAGCATAGAAACAAGGAAGTAACTGAAGAAATGTAAAACAAAGTTTAAAACAAGTAAATATGATATACTTTCCTATTTACTAATGCTAGCAGCATAAGGATTAAAAATAGTCCATGTTGATTGAGAGGGTGAAGTTCCACTTTAATGAGGAGGTTAACTGTGGAAATACAAAGTTAATAGTCAGCAGCTACAAATCCTGACTTTTAGTAAAATGATACTTACTTGTCCAGGTATCCAGCGCTGTCCTCACTTGGGCTAGTTCTTTATTAACTTTCAGGTTCCCAGCGCTGGCATCCTAACCCTAACTGTGATCAGCCGGCTGTGCTTCTTTCAGCTTCACTGCTGGCTGCCCACTGTGCATGCTCGAGCTGCGCTTTGTGAATGGTCCCACAGTCTTTCGGGACCTATGGAAGACTGCAGGGAGGCAGGGGGAGAGGAGAGCTTCCGCTCATATCACCTAGGTGAATGGAGCGGAAGTGGTAGAGGGTAACTGTCAAAACTAGGTACCCACTCCCCCTACCAAATAATGACATGGCGGGGGAGGAGGAGTGGAGGAGGAGGACTTGAAGCAGAACTTGCCCTTTTGGGTGGAGTTCCACTTTAAAGAGACACTGTCACCTTGCCCATGCATTTCAAAGTGAATCTACAAAGGCTCCCCTAGTGACCCATTTCTACTCACATTTCCACCATTCTCCTATTGCTTCTTCCTCTGTTACAGCTGACATTACCCTATTTTTCCAGGTACAGAGGCCCATGTGATAGTGCTGAGGCCTAGCAGCCAATTACTAGCAGTGCTGCCAAGCCTTCGCAGCATTGTTTACTGACAAAACATAGAAAATTTACTGACGGGGCACATTTTTTACTGACAACTTGAAAAATCACAAAAACGAAGACAATCAATATTTAAACAGCATAAACACAATATGGAATAACCAACCATGCCCATAACAAGTAATTTGACTGGTTTACACTTACAAGTCAACACAGCATGACAAATTTATAAGCCCCTGATATTTACAGACAGTAGTGCGAATCAAAGATTTTTACAAACTGTAGTCCGTAAATTTACTGACAGTTTGCAACCCTTATCACTAGCCCCATGACCAAGGGAGTAATATCACCGTTACCCCTGTTCATCATCACCACTAATTGTAGTGCCAGCTGTGACTTGGGGAGGCATAGTGTGAAATTAAAGCGGTTCCATAGCCTTAAGGTTTTGAGAATGCATTAAGGTAAAAAAAAACCTGTGTGCAGGAAACCACCCCCCCCCCCCCCCCCCAGCCCCTCTTTATACTTACCTGAGCATGATCTCGATCTAGTGCTAGATTGTAAGCTCGAAAGAGCAGGGCCCTTGATCCCCTCATGTTTTGCATTGTATTGGTATTGTTCTGTCACATGTTCTGTCTCCCTTTTGTAATGTACAGCGCTGAGCGAACTATTGGCGCTTTATAAATACTGTATAATAATAATAATAATAATAGTGCTGTCCACAAGAGAAGCATCTCAATTCGCTCTCTCCCTCCTCACAAGGCAGATTGATAACAGCAGGAATCATTGGCTCCTGCTACTGTCAATCAAATCCTTAGACAACAGAGCAAGCGGAATAGGTAAACCCTGCTGTCTGTCTTTAAGGAAGCAGGCAGCAGTGCCTGGGAGCGAGCGTGTACCCCACTATCAAGCTGCTTTTCGGGGGGGGGGGATTACTCAAAAGGCAGGGGGAGCCAAGAACACCAGCAGGGGATCCCGGAAGAGGAGGATCAGGGCTGCTCTGCAGAAAACTGTGGCACAGAGCAGGTAAATATGTTTATTTAAAAAACAAATGTTTAAACGTTTAGAATCCCTTTATAGTAAGGCAAGTATAAGGGGGTTGGGGGTGGGGGGGTTGTGGATGTGGATGGGGAGGGGGAGTTCCTCTTTGCCAAACACACTGTCACAAGGTAACAATGTAGCCTCATGACTTAAAAGTGCTCATCTGAGGCACACTAAGTTGGTTTCACCACAATAATAATGTTTTGCTAGTGTCAGTAAATCTGCCAAAAGTTTATATTGAAAGGGCCTATCTAAGCAACCCTTTCAATTTATACCCAGTCACATTGGTCCTTGAACTCTAATATAGATTATAGTTATTATACTGTATATTACTAGTTATTAGTTATCTAAAGGATTGTACAGTCAGATTGTAAGGTGTATGGCCTGCCTAAAGCTACAACCCCGAATCCTTCCCTCCCTCTCCTCATCACAGTTTTGTACATTTTTACAAATATCAGACTAATAGATGGGGGTTTCTCATCAATCCGCACAGACTGGATGTTGTACAGTACAGCACATGGATAACCTCCTACCAAATCCTGTAACAGCCTGTTTGTGGATCTGCTTGTCTGTCAGTCTGCATGTAGAGGCACTGTAAGGCACTGACTGGCTGTACCCATCCCAGAGAGCTGAAAGTGTGTATAACCATAGTGAAGAAGTCAAGGCAGTTGTGGCTGCTTTTGTTTATTTCAGCTCCATATAAAATCAGATCTCTGGGCATTACCAACCCCCCACCACCACCACCCAAAATCTCACCACAACCACCAGCTTTCGCCCCCTCTCTCTAACTAATTACTACTTAGTTTTAAAAAAAAATATGTAAAAGTGAAATGCTCCTTTTAAATAGGTATCTATGTTTAGGTATGCCAGATCCTCCAGGGTTATATCTTCACTGCTGACAGTCCTTTTGGGTATCCATGTCGCTATCTGAGTGATGTGGACACTACTTCTTGGCAGTCCAGCAGTGGGGTCCCCTCACGATCTAGAACAGGGGGTCTCCAGTCTTTTCACAAGGGACGAGGTACACATTTGCCATTTAAAAAAAAAATCAGTTTTCAAAATAAATCCTAAAATGTGAATGACTGATTAAACATCGTCCATGAGATAACTTCATATTCACCAGAAGCTTCCCCTTTCACTTTGAAGTCCCCCTTTTGGCATCAGAGTCTCCCCCCCACCATTCACATGTACTAAAGAGGTAACATTTTAACAACTTTACAAACCTCCGGTTTGGCCACTTCTCGAGTATGCTGTTCAGTTCTGGTCACCAGTCCTCAGGATGGATGTGCTGGAACTGGAGAGAGTCCAGAGAAGTATAACAAAGCTAACAAGGCGACTGGACGACCTCCGTTACAAGGAATGGCTGCAAACAATAAACTTACTCACGCTGGATAAGTAGTGCTTAGGAGTGGATGTACAATATACAAATCTTTAAGTAGTGACTCTAGCATTCAGAGGAAACTATTTCACCTAATGTCTCTAAAGAAGAGACACAGCCCCACTCAAGTTGAACTGGATGGTCAGGGGTCAGGCTTACCAACTATATAACTTTATATTCAAATAAACATTTTTACAGGATATATACTTGCCACTGAGTTTGCAGAGCATGCTAAAATTTCGAAGAAAGAAAGCCCAGCACTACCTTTATGCTTATCCTCGAACAGCAGTTGCTGTCTTTTCTAGGAGAAGCGGAGGGAGGTGTCCCTACATCGGCTCAATCATGTTTTTGTCTGGCACAACAGCTGCTCTCTGAGGTTTCTGCTGTTCTGTTAGAGATCTACCTGCTGGCTCCAAGTAGTAAAAAGGAAATATTTATATGCAAGATTTCATATTTATATGAAATAAATTAAAAACTGTTATAAAAATGTATTTTTCAGAACCGAACATAAAAAAAAAAAAAAGATTATAGAAATGAGTTGTTGTGTGTGTCTATCTCACACGGCTAGCTGCTTTTGGTCACTAGATCCTTGTAGCGCTATATCCCTTACTAATTACCAGCATAGGCCGGAGTCTATAAAAATTCACAGGCATGTGTTCAGTACATCCCTTCTCATCAAATGCATGTAAGGTCCTTGTGGGTACAACAGTGCCACCCCGTGGCCAAATTAAGGTACTACAAGGCACAGCAGCTGCCTGTTCTTATTAGTGGGTTTTTGACCATTTCCTATACATTTGGATATCCTAATTTTAGAGATACTGTAGAATGAAGACCTGCACGTAAGTATTTATTTATTTTTGTACACAAAAGAAAAATACAAACCATTCCCTTTCACTCCACATCACAGTTAACTCATAATAACATATGAGTACTATGAAATGGCAAAGTAGTGCATTAATAATAGTAATAATATGTATAGATTTGGGTTAGGCATTTCCTAGCAGTGCAGTTTGTCATCGAGTATGACTAATATTAGAGATTTAGAAATGCATCTGTCCTTTAGGGGAGTGGAGTGGTTTTATTAGTAGGTTAGATAGTTTTAAGCCTAAACTACTCTAACCGAGATTCACATCTTAATTGGTCAGATGGTGGCCCAACAGATCTTCAAAAATCGTCAATAAAAAAAATAGAGCTAGTCATGAGTATTAAATAAATGTTTTAAAAATATAATTGTTTAATAATGTATATCTGAAATATTGCATATAAATACTTCATATTTACCCTTTTTGCAGGCAGCAGATGGCAAGCGGTACTCGGTACAGATATACCGTATTTTCCGGCGTATAAGGCGACTGGGTATATAAGATGACCCCCTAATTTTCCAGTTAAAACATAGGTTTTGGGCTATACTCGCCGTATAATACTACCCCCCTTCCGAGGCAACACCATT